TTTTAGTAAAACAGGAGAACTTTCTGCCCGATTTTCAGAAATGTTTCAAAATGATTAACACTTTAATTTTCACTTATTCCTAGTGATGAACATTTATTGATATACAGTATGTATGGATATCTTTTCATTATTAAGCTTTCTGTATACTTATTTCTATACTGCCAGTGGGTTTGCTTAATTTCTGCAGCAGTAAAAAGGTATAGGAAAAGAAAACATGATTAATACATAAAAAGCCAACATAAATACAATCTTTATTGTATACATAAATATTTAAAAACATTAAAAAGAGAAATAGAAAAAAGCAAATGCCAAATTGTCCAGACTTTATTTCTAACCTGAATTAATGGAGAGAAGGGTTTTACCCTCATGATTATCTCTGGATTTAAAACAAACCTGTTAAAATGCATACCTAATGAACTGCTATCACAAAACTATATCTAATGCACCTTGGTACTAACTTAAGACATTACATATGCTAATAAGCACTGGCAAAACAGATTTCTGATCAGCATGGATTGTGTTGCACAAATGCCACGATTTTAATTCAACTCAATTATTTCAATGACTGCAAAGGTGATTTACTTGTCAGTCTGGTACTAAACCTTCATCTCCATCTCTAGCTGTTTCCCCAGTCATTCTTGAGATCCAGTGAACTGCGCAATATCCTTATCTGCTCCGGCGCACACAGACAAACAATGTGCCAGATTTTCCAACTAAACTGAGCAGAAGGGGGGATGCCAGTTTTGTTTCTTGGTCATTACTAGAGATGGAAAGGCCTGGAAAACAAATGGAAAAATTGGGAGAAAAAAAGCATTTTTTTCTGGGTTTTTTTTTTTACCAAAACCATTTTTTGTTTATTTTTCTGGAAAAACTTTTACAATGATAAATAACATATCTATGTTAGTGAAAAAAGTGGTGTAGCACTCAGTACCAAATGCAATACATGTAATAAATAAAATACATCAATATTAGTGACACTATGTGCTCACAATTCAGGTCACAGCAGACCTAGTAGGTGACTAAAAGTGAACACAATCCCATGGAGGGATCAAAGTAGCGTGACCCTTAGTCCCCACAATTGGGGTTGCAGTCTAAAATAACGTTGATCCCTGTTGAGGGACAAGTGCTAATCGTGCACCAAAATCACAAATATATAGCCAAGTCCAATCATAAGGTGGATGTGTAGACACAGCTGAGGTGCTCCAATCTTCCAGATCATGCATAAACGGTTGTGATCCACCAATAGGTGCTCTCCAAACAATGGCTAAAGTGGCCTCTCACCTCCACTCATCGACCCTTAGGGGCCATAGAGCCTTATGGATCTCTCCTTGATCCTTCTGATACAAGAAATCCTGGTGATCTAGTGACAGGTATATAGCCAGCAAGAAATCCTCCCCAGGAACCCCTCCAGATCAGTAGGTAGACAGACACAGGTACGCTCCAGGCAAAAACAATTCAGCAGACCTTGATCCTCTCCACACTGGCCTCCAGCTTCAGCTGCTCCACCGGTCTCTGCATAGTGCTCAGGTTGGAGTTGGAGGACATGTTAGTCCTGCAGGAGAAGAAGTCGATATGAGGGAAGAGGAGCAGCCTGTTGCTTCTCCAACAGATAGTAATTGTGATCGGTAATGGGCTTCGGGGCAGGAAATGATCTCACAAGCAGCTAAACTAACAGACTCTCTCCCTCTATATATCTATGACATGGTATTCTAACTATATAACATGAAGACCTTAATGAAAGATTTCTGGGACTTTATGTAAAGTTTTAAATTGTTGCAAGCTCTCTCAGCTGAAGACAAGGAAATCCTGGAATACAATTCAAGGAACACTTTACATTTAAATGCAGTTCTCAAACAAGAGAAATATTCATTTCTGTCACTAGGGGCACTGCAGGGGGAAAGGCTCCAGATTAGTTTGCCTGTGGGCTCCATCTTGTACCTCCTACAGTTTGATGTTTGTTGGGATACAGTAGATGATAGTTTCTGTCCTCGCAGGTTAATTGACAGGTAACAGGGTAAATTCATCTGACAAATGACTTTATCTTTATAACCTTTAATTGATTCCTAATAATGTTCTCCACCACCACAGCATAATGTTTACCTATAGTCTGATCAGTAAATTGTATTTAATTTTCCACCTCTCAGTAAAATGGAGACCAACATCTAGAGTTTGGAAACATTTCCAGAGTGCAATTTCTACTGAGAGCAAAGCTGCAATTTACAAATATTGTGAGAAAAAAATATTATTTTCTAACAGCTACAAGAATGAAAAAATACATCTTTGCATGCCAGATGTGCCCTAAATACATTTAGAAATACTTTATTTAAATCACAATAAAAGTGCGAGTAGCTTTTCCCTCCAGAGTTCTCATTCCAGAAACACTCTTTCTACTGCTTCTGAATCATTACAAGTTTTAAAAAAAAAGTTTAGTTTTTTTACTGTATAAGCTGTACTTTTATTTCAAGCATAATACTTTCTTATTAACGCAAACAGATTATACCGCACAGATTCCCACTTTTCTAGAGTACAAAGCCACAAACACTTACGAGGATATCCTCCCTTAACTTAAACAATAATACTTTTATATACTCTGTATTTCATGTTCTCAGTACTTTTATGCTCCCAGACTTTCAATTTTATAAAAATACTCCACACTGAATTTATTTTTCAGAATGTATTTTTCAGCTTCTGAAAATTTCCATTTTTTCCAGAAAAAAACAATGAAAAAAATATTTTTCCCCATGGCTTCAAAATTTCCAGAAATTTTACATCTCTAGTCATTACTATCAGGTTTGTCAGAAGCTTCAGAAGTTGAACTGATAATTCCTATCTAGGAAGTCAATCATTGAGTCAACCGATAAACATAAACAACCTATGACTGAAATGCATAAAGAGATTATCTTCAGTGAAAATCACAGGTCAATATAATAATAATATATGTACAACTGAACTTATACTATATGCAAGTCTTAACTTTCTCCATGAATGTTGAGCTTGTGTCTGGCCCTTTTCCACCACCCAAGCCTCTATTTATTAATGAGGTCACTCATCACCTTTATGAACTAATAGGGTGGCTTAGGGAGCAACTTAATTATCAAAGTTATATAAATAAAGAAAAAACCTAATATGATAGACTAAGACTGTTTAAGTCACTTGTGGAATATATGCTGATTTGAAGATTTTTCTGCATTACAAATCATGATTTTTACATTTACGGACATTTATTCACAGACTGTCACTGGGTTGAAGGCTCAACCAGGTGTTTAATATGTAACATTTTCTTTTTATTTTGTGTGCTTTGTTTTATACATGTATTTATATATAATTAACATTATTATTATTTTTTTTTTTTAATTTATGCCTTGATATATACAGTTAGGTCCATATATATTTGGACTCAGGCACAATTTTAGTTTTTTCAGATATTTACCAAAACATATTCAAGCTATATTTATATAATGGATATGGGCTGAAAGTGCACACTCTTAGATTTAATTTGAGGGTATGTACATCCAAATTGGGGAAAGGGTTTAGGAATTACAGCTCTTAAGAGTGGCCATCCCCCCTTTTTCAAGGGACCAAAAGTAATTGGACAATTTAATCAAAAGCTGTTTCATGGCCAGGTGTGGGCTACTCCTTCATTATTTCTTCATCAATTAAGCAGGTAAAAGGTCTGGAGTTGATTCTAAGTGTGGTATTTGCATTTGGAATCTATTGCTGTGAACCTACATTGTGCGTTCAAAGGAGCTGTCCATGTAAGTGAAACAGGCCATTGTAAGGCTTAAAAAATAAAAACAAATCCATCAGAGAGATAGCAGCAACATTAGGAGTGGCCAAATCAACAGTTTGGCACATTCTGAGGAAAGAAGCACGCAATAGTGAGCTCAGCAACATAAAAAGGCATGGACGTCCATGGAACACAACAGTGGTGGATGATCGCAGGATCCTCTCTATGGTAAAGAAAAACACATTCACAACATCCATACAAGTGAAGGACACTCTCCAGGAGGTGGGTGTATCATTGTCAAAGTCTACAATCAAGAGAAGACTTCACGAGAGCAAATACAGAGGGTTCACCACAAGGTGCAAACCATTCATAAGCCTGAAGAATAGAAAAGCCAGATTAGACTTTGCCAAAAAACATCAAAATAAGCCAGACCAGTTCTGGAAAAGCATTCTTTGGATAGATGAAACTAAGATTAATCTGAACCAGAATGACAGGAGGCTTGGAACAGCTCATGATCCAAAGCACACAACATCCTCTGTAAAACATGGTGCAGGCAGTGTGATGGCATGGGTATGCATGGCTTCCAGTGGCACTGGGTCATTGGTGTTTATTGATGATGTGACAGAAGACAGAAGCAGCTGGATGAATTCTGCAGTGTTTAGAGACATACTGTCACCCCAGATTCAGCCAAATGCAGCAAAGTTGATTGGATGGCTCTTCACAGTACAGATGGACAATGATCCAAAACACACTGCAAAAGCAACCCAGGAGCTTTTGAAGGAAAAGAAGTGGTATATTCTGCAATGGCCGGGTCAGTCACCTGATCTCAACCCCATTGAGCAAAGGCAAAACTAAAGGCAGAACGACCCACAAACAAAGAACAACCGAAGACCACTGCAGTTAGAGCCTGGCAAAGCATCAGAAAGGAGGAAACCCTGTCTTTGGTAATGTCCATGAGTTCCAGACTTCAGGCAGTCATTTCCAGTAAAGGATTCTCAACAAAATATTAAAAATTAAAAAAAAATTTATGATCATATTCAATTGTACAATTACTTTTGTTCCCTTGAAAAAGGGGGGATGGCTACTCTTTAAGAGATGTAATTCCTAAATCCTTCCTCCAGTGTGGATGTACATATACTGTATTTTTCGCTCCATAAGACGCACCTGACCATAAGACGCGCCTAGGTTTTAGAGGAGAAAAACAAGAAAAAAATATTCTGAACCAATGGACTGCAGACACAGTACAGGAGATGGCCAGAGATTGTGGACACAGTACAGGGGATGACCAGAGACTGCGGACACAGTACAGGAGATTACCAGAGACTGCGAACACAGTACAGGAGATGGACCAGAGACTGCGGACACAGTACAGGGGATGACCAGAGACTGCGGACACCAGTACAGGGGATGACCAGAGACTGCGGACACAGTACAGGAGATGACCAGAGACTGCGGACAGTACAGGAGATGACCAGAGACTGCGGACAGTACAGGAAATGCCCAGAGACTGTGGACAGGACAGGAGATGACCAGAGACTGCGGACATAGTACAGGAGATGACCAGAGACTGCAGACATAGTACAGGAGATGACCAGAGACTGCAGACATAGTACAGGAGATGACCAGAGACTGCGGACAGTACAGATGACCAGAGACTGCAGACAGTACAGGGGATGACCAGAGACTGCAGACAGTACAGGGCATGACCAGACACTGCGGACCTTTAGGGAGGGAGGGGGAGCGGGTACCTGAATTTGACACTTCCACTTCTGCGGAGTTCTCGTTCCTATAATGTGGGCACCCGACTTTGACAGCCGGGTGCCCACTGCGCATGCACGAGAAGCGCTGCGTTTTGTGAATGGTCCGGCATCTTTTGAGACCTGTCATGTGTCCCAGAAGACACCGGACCATTCACAAAGCGCAGCGCTTCTCACTCATGCGCAGTGGGCACCCGGCTGTCACAGATGCCGGGGCGGAAAGAAGCCGGCGCGGAAAGACTACAGCGCTGGCCGAGGAACAGGTGAGTTCCTGCCACAGAGAACAGCTGAGCGTCCGGCCCGGTATTCTGACATGGTGGCAGCAGAAATACCGGACCGGCCGCTTTATATTCGCTCCATAAGACGCACTGACATTTTCCCCCCTTTTTTGAGGGGAAAAAAGTGCGTTTTATGGAGCGAAAAATACGGTACTCAAATTAAACCTGAGAGTGTGCACTTTCAGCCCATATCCATTAAATAACTATCTCTTGATTATGTTTTGATAAATACCTGAAAACAATTAAAATTGTGCCTGTGTCCAAATATATATGGACCTAACTGTATTATATATTCTGTTAGATTGTAAGCTCCAAGGAACAGCGCCCTCCTAACTCTCTTGTATTGAACTGTATTGTCTCCTGTTATATTGTAAAGCGCTGAGCAAACTGTTGGCATTATATAAATCCTGTATTATAATAATAATAATAATAATAATAAATATTACTCAGATTGTCTATTTGCACATATGTTGAAGTTTTACTTATTGATTTGTTCATATTTGGTATTGCCTAGCAGGGCATCTAGTCTGTTTGGATATTCTCATTCACTTGTGTTTGGTTATTCTCTAGGTATGCACTTATATCACCTTAGTTAGGGGCTCTGTCAGGTGTTTACTTTTTTCTTTATGGTTAGGTTTAGTGAGTAGCGCTGTACTATTTATCTATTCATTTAATTATTATCAAAGTTGTTATTGTTTTGCATCATCTGATTCTGAGGCTGGGAGTGAAGCAGCATCATTTTCTTTACTTAACTTCATCTTCCTTTGAAACTTCCTTTCAGCAAATGTGACTGCATCATGTACACTATAGAATACATTGCTTTTGGATCTACCAAAAAAGTCTCCATTGTGGAGTAAACGACGTACTGATGGATTACAGTTCGCAAGAAATACCCTCACACCAAATCTCTTCATCAATCATTGTAAACCTCTTTCAGCACACTGAAACCCACTGAGTCTATAAACTGCATGGCACCACAATCAATTATTAGAGAATGCATAGTGATTGATGAAGTGGAAGTATCATGAGACCTCTGGGGGTTACAAAGTGTTTTTATCACATTTAGCTTTGAGAAAAACATATACTTGTTTTCTGTGCGTGAGGCCTCTTTTTTGGCTTTTCTTTGTAATGCCAACACAATTGATGGGTTGACCCCAGTTTTGTTAAATAGGGCTGATTTGAAATAATCCTTGTTTGCATAGTACAGACAGCTGTCAAATTTATAAATTTTAATATTAGGTACGTTGTCAAGCTCTTTATATTTGAACTGATCTTCATAAATCTCTGTGCCACTGACATGACCTAGAAGAGTGGCCCTTGGCCTTTGGGTACGAAATATCACACAGAGTATCGAGAAACAAACGCCCACAAGTAAACCGAACTCTGTTGAGATTACCGCAGAGGCCAGCATGCTGACCCACCAGACCACTGTGTCTGTCCTGTTAACCCGCCACATTTGGGGTGTATCCTGAAATTTCATAACTGCACCTTTAAGGCTTACAATTGTAATAACACCTAAAGTGCAGATTTGTAGAGCATTAAAAAGGGGGGCAATAGCAAGCAATACTAGTAACAACACTATGGAGGAAACAATTCCATTTAGCTGCGTATGGGCGCCTGTGGATTCCTTAAGCATGGTTTTGGCAAGAGCAGCACAGCTTGCAAAAGAATAGAAGAAAGATGGGATTAGATTACACATGCCTATAGCAATCATCTCCTGATTGGTGTTGATTGTGTACCCATGTTTTTTGGCAAATATTTCAGCAAGAGAAACAGTCATGGCAAATCCTATGATTGCAATTGGTATTGCATCAGTTGCAATACGTGGAATCAGACTCCACTGTGGTGCTCTTGGTGGTTTAAATCCAGTAGGAATTATGCCACAGATTGATGATTCATATTTGCCATTGAAATCAAAGTAATAGGAAACCAATGTAGCCACAATTATAACAACTAATTCTATTGGAATTGGGACTTTCAACTTAGTCTTGTACAAATCATTAATGCTTTTCACTGGTACCATAACAGCAATTACAACAATGCTGGTCAATAAATCACATATATTGGTATAGTGCAAGTTCTGAAATATATCAATCCATGTGAGTATCAGAGATCCGACACCATCACGACGAGGAATCTTCAGACCTAGAAGATACTTCATTTGGGATGTTATTATGGTAAGGGACGATCCAGTGACAAAACCACTTAGTAAGGGCTCGGATAAGTACATAGATATAAAACCAAAGTGGAATAGTCCCATTAGGATCTGCAAAATAGGAAAATATTAATAGGTTTTTATTAAATGCACATTTTGTATTTAAACAATAAAATTGTATTTAAAGGATTTGTATAGACATGACCAAAATTTATCCCCACACTTTCCTCTGCCCCTCTTGAGCACATGCCCGCATTAATTTTTTTCATCCAGCTTTTTCCTGTAGCAAGAAAAAGCTTTTATTACCAGACTTATAAAATGATTGCAGGGGCAGGTGACTGGTCACTTCCTAATGATGTTAGCCTGCCATGCCCCCCTCCAGAACTACATTTCTCAAGATTCCTTTTTCTGCACACAGTGTATTGGAAGTCAAGCCAGCAGCAATGATTTTCTGGGAAAGAAATAAATAAATGTAGGTGGAAAGGGACAGATAGTATTGAGAAAAAGGCCGAATACTGTAATCCAGCAGAGGAGAACTCAGGCAAAGCTAAGAACACTGTTCAGCATTTCAATGCAACAAAGTCAGCATTGTCAGCCAATAGCAGGAAGTTAGGAGCTCACTGGATTTTGTGGCAGGCTCACCATGTATATCCACTTAAAGACCAGGCTTTTTCTGTCACTTTTTGCTTACATATAGGAGATATTTGCTAGAAAATTACTTAGATCCCCAAAACATTATACTGTATATATATATATATATATATTTATATTTTTTTTTTTTTTAACAGAGACTCTAGAGAATAAAACGGCAGTTTTTTATGTCATACGGTATTTGCACAGCGGTTTTTCAAATGCAATTTTTTGGAAAAAATACATTTTAATAAATGTAAAAAAACAAAAACACTATATATTACCCATTTTTTTTAGTAAAATTTGAAAGATGATGTTACGCTAAGTAAATAGACACCTAACATGTCACGCTTTAAAGTTGTGCATTCTCATGCAATGACGCCAAACTATGCTATTAAAATATGTCCATAGGCGACGCTTTAAAAGCCTTTACAGGTTACCAGTTTAGTGCTAGAATTATTGCTCTCTCTCTCTCTCTCTCTCTCTCTCTATCTCTCACAATCATGGCGATACCTCACATGTGTGGTGTGAACACCATTTACATATATGGGTGTGACCTACATATGCGTATGCCACTGCTCGCGAGCATGGGAGATGGGGGTGCTTTACATTTTTTTTCTTTTATTATTTATTTTATTACTTTTTTATTTTTACACTGTTCTTTTAATTTTTTTGGCCACTTTTTTTACTAGCACAAAAAATCAGAGCATCCCTTGCGATAACAATAAATAATGACAGGTCCTCTTTTTGGAGAGATCAGGGGTCTAGAAGAACCCCACATCTCTCCTCTACAATGAAAAACATTAGATCAGAAAAAAACTTATTGATCTAATGCTTTCCCCTCCAAAAAATGGCCTTGCTTACATTCAGTCTGAACCAAAAGTGAAGTCATTACGTCACGCCAGTCCTCCTAGGTCATAGAGATTAGTTGAGGCCATCTTTCCTCAGCTAATCTCTATGACCAGCCGCCGTGACTGCCGGATAGGTTCCCGGGCTCACCGATCAGGCAGGTAAGGCTGAGAACCACCGAAAAGCGGTCGCCGGAACCTCCAGAAAGCTAGGTTTCTAAAAGTGATCCAGCAGCTAATCAGAAAATTTTTATTGTAGCTGTTGTAAATTTTTATATCAGAATTATGGTATCCAGCTGCAGCCATAACCCCGGTAATCCACGTCAAAACCACAATGTACATACATGTATTGCGGTCTTGAAGGGGATATTTTTCTGTTGCAGCATTCTTAAATGGATAATGCTTAGGGAAATATACATGAACTGCAGACATGTTGTGCATATGTTTATTTCTGTGTTTCCCAGACATACACTTTAACCTCTTCCTGTCTGCCCATATACTTTAAACGGTGGACAGCAAGCTTTACCAATGCGGGCGACTGTACCTGTACTTCAGCCCGCATCGGCAGCTCCTTCACTGCCCACAGACCGGGAGCCTGGAAATCTGTATATCACTTGGACACAGCAGATCACATCACTGCTGTGCCTGGGCAATCACATGGTGTTTTACCATGTGATTGCTGTGTCTAATCACAGCAATCACATAGTAAACAATGCAAAGTGAAACTATAGACTGCTTCTCTCTGCTCTCACTGTGAGAGTAGATTGAAGCGATCCTGCAGCCTGTGAGT